GACACATTTTAGTCCTTTTGAGCGACTAATGTGAGTGATCACAGTTTTAACTAAATTGATCCACTTTGAATTTCTTAGGAACCTCAACACTAATTTTTTTTATAAGAGACTAAAGTTGGGACTGTATATTTTGTTAAGGACTTCGGCTACCTCTTGGAGATTGACTGCTGTTGGTAAGTTCACATCTCCTGTAGTATCCCTATATACTCTAAAAAGAATTTCTAGTTGGTTCACCATTCTTTCTTTTACTACATCTAGCGCTAAATCTGTTAGTTTGGTTTCCAAATTGAGACTATTCCCAAGAAAAGAAGAAGAGCATGTTTAGGAGCAGCCCCTGAGTGAAGAGCAAGCAAACTCCGCCCTAATATAAATATTAAACCAAGAGACAAATAAGAACCTGCAACAAAGAAAAAAAAACTAAAATCACAATGTTTATGTCCGCACTTGCGGACATTTACCCCAACTGGATCCTCCTCTGCTCCTACTGAGCAATGTTAATATGGCCATATGCAGATTATTTAGCCAAATATCTCGTCTCTGGTTTTTTTTCTTCCTAATAAGCTCGATCTCGATCTGACCATATCATTTGCTCTATTTTCTCCCCATCCATTTTTGCATTTATGACTTCAAATTAATGTTATTCACAAGTTCATTTAGATGTTGCATGTTTTGGAGAAATGCCCATAGACAAAAACTATTCTATTTTTGGACCTAGTGCCCAGGGACAAGGTTCGCATGGAAATTAATTTCTTACTATGTATAGGACAATTTTTTATCTGAGAGGACGAAAATTTAAAATATTGCCTTTGCTACATATAGTGGCACTTTGACATTATTAAAGGAGGACGGACTTGACTTTGCTATTGAGGGCGAACATGGTTTGAACTTTATTATAACCCTTACACAAATCAGGAAATTTTGGGAGAAAGAGTGAGGATTTCAAAATGGAAAATTATACTTTTATGTTACATAAGATTCATCTATCATGTTACACTCACATAAAAAGATATGCTTCACTTTTTATCTTTTTTTAAAATTGATGGGCCCCATTTAATTTATCTCACAACATAAGATAATTTTTCTTTTACAACATGAGAGAAGTAAAGCCCTTTCAAAATTTATGACAAACTTGAAGAACTTTGGTACATGAGAAATAATAAGGACAACGATGAATTTAATTATATGACTTTTTTTAAAGTCTGAATGTAATTTTAAATAATATTTGATGAACTTGATGAATTATATGACCTTTTTTTAAAGTCTGAATGTAATTTTAAATAATATTTGATGAACTTGATGGAACGATCGCCTATCCTAATTCTCATGACTGACTCCACCGTTGCATAATTTATACATCCAATGATAAATTTATGAGTTTAATGTTTTTTATATCGCAAGAGATAAAATTATTTTATACACACATATGTATAGGGTTCATTTTTTTTCTCTCTCTTCTTCTTACATTGTACCATTTTGTATATAGAAAATAATTTTATCTAATACAACATAAAAAATATTAAAACCTAAATTTATATACCGATGCATGCCAATTATGTACTTCCATATAAAATGGTTTAAACAAGAAGCAAGCTTTAATCTATAAGTGGCTAAGAAATCTTTACAATATTAAGTATTTAACAACATTATTCACATAGTGAAAGAGACTTCACACACACATATATTGAGAAGAATCTTTCGATTATAATGTAAGATTTACAAGTTTTCCTCTTTATCTTAGTCTTGATTTTCATTCATCTAATGGTTATCATCTTAAAATAGAAAATAAGACTTATAAGTCTTATACTGAATTCAAAAGATCCTTCTCTCTCTCTCTCACACACACACACACATATATATATGGACATGATATTTTTATACTGGTATAAAATAAAAAGTCTTATACCAAATCTTGATCATTGATTTTCTCGTATTTAATGGCTTAAATATCTAATAAATTATAACCGTTAGATATAAATAGAACTGATCAGAACAGATTTTTACAACTGGGCCGATCATGTGATCTTTCTCTGCACAGCCTGGAACCATCTTGGGTCAGAGCATCTTGCAGTTGGGCCGCTTTATCCCATGGGTCTTCTATGGAACGAGATGAGGGGTGTACCTGCAAGACACTCCGACGCTCAATCAGTTATGGTTCAAGCAGGTTTTATTATGCAGGAGAAGATGAGTACCTTAGTGTTGATACATATGTATTCATAGTAAAGTGAGGAGCAGCTTGGGAATGTCTTAATGCTGAAGTATACTTGGAGATGAAGTATCTTGAAGTTGCTTGTTGTCATGCTGCCTTTAATGTTGAGGAGCTTTGCTAAGATATGCTTTAATATTGTGGTGCTTGATGGCTGTCATGAGCTTGGGGATGAAGATGAGATAACAGCCTTTGTGGACTAAAGCTTTGCTTAATGGTGAAGACCTTTGGGTTAGGCTTTGTATTTTGGGCCTTGTATTTGTATAGTATTTGTCCAGATCAGAAGCCCCCCAGCTCGTTGCTTATGCCGAAGGCATGAGTAGCGAGATGTATAAGTTTGCGAGCTGGCATATCTGTTTATCAATCTGGAAAATCTATCGTGCTTGTTCATTTATCTGAAACTATGGTCTGTACTTTGTATGGGTGCTTGAGAGCTTCATAATTGTATTCTGCATTTGTACAGTTCATAATTCATAATTTATATATTTTGCATACCTTTTCTATTTTGTATGCTCCGAGGTTTGATGTCGCTTAGTTTGGACTTGATGTTTGTCAGAAGTATCGCGCTTGGGAAGTTTTAACCAATTAAGGCTTTTACCTTCCTTTGTTCCTGAGTGGGCGTTGGAGGAATTTCAATATCTTCATTGCGAGGGAGCTTGGAGGAAGTTTTATTAGCTTCCTTTCATTATTGGAGGATCCTTTTGGGGGATCCTTGAGATTGAGGGATCCTTTTGAGGAATCCTTTTGATTGGAGGATCCTTTTGAGGGATCCTTGAGATTTGGAGGATCCTTTTGAGGGGTCATATTGATTGGAGTATCCTTTTGAGGGATCCTTTAAATTGGAGGATCCTTTAGATTGGAGGATCCTTTAGATTGGAGGATCCTTTTGAGGGATCCTCCAATCACAAGGCTTCCCACAGACGGCGCCAATGATCAGAACAGATTTTTACAATTGGGCCGATCATGTGATATTTCTCTGCACAGCCTGGAACCGTCTTGGGTCAGAGCATCTTGCAGTTGGGCCGCTTTATCCCATGGGTCTTCTATGGAACGAGATGGGGGGTGTACCTGCAAGACACTCCGACGCTCAAGTCAGTTATGATTCAAGCAGGTTTTATTATGCAGGAGAAGATGAGTACCTTAGTGTTGATACATATGTATTTATAGTAAAGTGATGAGCAGCTTGGGAATGTCTTAATGCTGAAGTATACTTGGAGATGAAGTATCTTGAAGTTGCTTGCTGTCATGCTGCCTTTAATGTTGAGGAGCTTTGCTAAGATAGGCTTTAATATTGTGGTGCTTGATGGCTTTCATGAGCTTCCGAATGAAGATGAGATAGCAACTTTTGTGGACTAAAGCTTTGCTTAATGGTGAAGATCTTTGAGTTGAGCTTTGTATTTTGGGCCTTATATTTGTATAGTATTTGTCCAGATCAAGAACTAATGGTCAAAATCGAGAGTATAACTTACATCAATATAAAATGGAGAAGATAAGATTTTGCAAAACAGTGACACATGCAGTATTGTCGACCTTGTCTGGAACGGGCATACAAATAGTAGATATATTAGGATCACATTTCTTTCATCTCTCCTCGTGCTTCAAACTCCATCCCCTCGATTATTGGGCGCGGGAACATCCAAACATGCATGCAACTCACCTTTCTCCATGCTACAAAATTCAAATACGCTGAACCTAAACATTTTTGTCAATATTATTAGCGAAGTTATGTTATATGAGATTATTCGTGTTTGCTAAAGAAAACAGTTTTTTTTACCCAAAAAAAATAATTTCTGGAAATATGATGGAATTTTTTTTCCTCGATAAGTTATTAAAAGATATTTGCTAGGTCAAATTTTTTTCGAAAATATTGAGTTAATTTAACTGATATTGTGCGTTAATTTTTTCATCATATAGGAAAATTATAATTTTACTTTGTCAATGGTAATCTTTCCCAACTATTTTACATAGAAAAGCAAAGGATGGAGAAAAAAATTTTCCAACCATATTTTTACTTCACCTCTTACCAAATATAGGCAAATAATTTTTCCACCTCATTTTCTTAGGAAATTTTTTTTTCACCTCCTGCCAAACACCCCATAATATTATGTTGTTCTTACATAGAAAAATATATCTCCTTTGTAAAAATAAATAAATCAATAGGTTTAATTTTATTTGTTTTTCAATATAAGAAAACTTGCCTCCTACTGCGTAAGAGAAATAATCCTCATATTATTATGTGCTTTATGTGTCTCTTTTTATTCGAGTGATTTTTATTTTTTTGTAAAGAAAAAAAATAGTGGAACCTATTATTTTAATTTTTTAAATAAGGCACGAAGTTCGAAGGGTAAGTACAAATTTTTTTTTCGCCCGAACAAAATTTAACCCCTACTATTATTAATTATCGTGCTTTAAAAAAAAAAAACAAATTGTGGGAGTGGGAAGTGAATCTGCTGTGTTTACTTTTTTTTTTTTATCATAACCTCTCACCAAACATGTAAATCAAGCGATAAAGAATTATTTCAGTTTAATTAATAATTTTGATTTCAAATATATGAAAATATAGCTATATTAAAATTTAGTAATGAGAATTTTGTTGCCTATATAATCTTATGTCATTTGAATTCGACTAGACGAAAAAAGTGATGAATCGATAAATAATATTAAAAATATAGTTAAAAAAGTCAAAATTTGCAAAATATTTACATCACCACATATATATACGTCAGCAATTTTTGGACTTAATTAACATAATTTATTTTTGCGTTAATCAAAGCATTAGTACTGTTTTCGGATCTAATCAGCATTTTCTTTCATAAACTTGAACCGGCAAGCCACCTCTGAAAGTGGCGGTAAGACCCGGGGAAAACCGGGGCTCCTGATTCGCTCCAACGACCCGAATATCGAACCGTTGAACTAAGGCCGCCACCACAGACTTCATCTCCACCAAAGCCAAATCCTTTCCTAAACAAACCCTTGCCCCAGCCTGAAAAACAGGGTACTTGAAAGGATTCTCCGGCACAAACGCACCGTTTTGCAACCACCTCTCAGGCTTGAATTCGAGACAATCGGGGCCCCAAATCTGCTCCATCCGACCCATGGCATACGGGTGGTACGTAACCCGATTCCCCTTCCGTACAAACGTGCCATCTGGTAACACGTCATCCTCTGTCGCGTACTTGGAATCGAACTGAACCGGAGGGAAAAGCCTCATGCTCTCGTGAACCGCAGCGTTGAGGTAATGCATTTCTCGTGTTTGTTCAAAGGTGGGAAAACCGTGAACCGGTCCAGCCACCCGGTCCAGCTCCTCCCGAATCAACGCCTCCACGTCATGGTTTTTTGATAGCAAAACAAAAAAACCGGTTAACGCGGCAGCAACAGTGTCACGACCTGCTAAGAGGAAACTTACGACGATGTCTCTGAGGTATTTGTCGTCGTTTACCGAATCCATGAAACGCGAGAGAAGATCTTGTCGTTTAGCGAAACCCATTTCCATTTCCCTTCTCTCCTTTATCATCTTTTCTGCTAAGTCGTTCACTACGTTGATGGCTTCTTTCAGCTTCTTCTCCGATCCTATGTTGAATAGCCGCTTCATCTTCCATATCGCCGGCGACACCGTCATGGCTCGCTCCGCCGAGAGCTTTGAAGCCAGGTCGAAGGCGACGGCGAGGTTGGAAACTGGGAGTGAAGGAAGGAGACAACCTGGGTCGAGACCGAACGAGAATTTGCAAATGTTGTCGAAGGAGAATCGTCGGAGAATGTCTTGCAGGTCCAAGACTCTTCTTCCATCGGAAGCCATGGCCATGAGAGGAATTAACCTCGTTTGGATCTCATCGGTTACTAGTTCCATAGCGTAGGAGCGAATCGCCACGCTTCCGAGTTCTAAGCTTGCCATTTTGCGTTGGAACTTCCATGAATCGCCGTCGACATTGAAGATTCCTCGGCCCAAAAGATCGCCGAGGATGATGGAAAAAGGTTTACCTTTTGGGTAGTTGTTGAAATTGGTTTTGAGGATGTACTCAACGTTTTCTGGATTCGAAGTGATGGTGGTTCGAAGCACGTGCATATGAATGGTTCCGGTTGAAGAGTTTTTCAAAAGATGAGTGTACCAATCGCAGAAATTGCCAAACTTGTGAACCCAACTCATGGTCAAGTAACTCCTGCAATTCTCGCAGTTACACCATGGTTTCATCCTCGTGATGAAGATGAGAAAAGAAAACAAAAGGAACAGAATAGTAAAGAAGAAGAACAAGAAACTGCAGGTAGCAGACATGGATTGCAAATAACCTTCAAAACTCATTTCTTTGGGTATATGGAGAAAAAAAGTTGAATGATCGTGATATATATATATAATATATTCGGTGCACTGTTGTATTGAACAAAGTACAATCAATGGGCACCACAATATTCATAAATGAAATGGTAATAAAGGGTAATAAAGATACATGAATTTCTTTATTTAGGTTATTTAACGTATGTATTGACTATTGCGGATGAATATGAATAATAATAATAATAAAATAAATGAGATAAGGAACAATAAATTCGGGGATAGTTGGGAGTTGACTTGTGGACACGCACAACCCGAAGTCGTCGACAAAGGTAATAAAGGCATGAGCAACGCGTGCGAAAAATCAGACACCACCGCTTCATGGATTGGAACTTTTGTTTTAACCCACGTGACGGTATTAATTTTGAAAATAGATTAGTGTTTAATTACTGGGAAAAGTATCTATTATTACAAGAGTAAACACTATTTTATCATCAACAAATTTTACTATGTTTATTTTAGTCGTTAGCAAATAAAAAAGACTATTTGTGGTCTCTAAAAAATTTAAAGTAGACTCAATTTAGTCCTTTTGAGAACTAATATGGATCTTTTTTGAATTTGTGAGGGACTACAATTTCAACTAAATGGGTCCATTTTGAATTTCTTAAGGACCACGAATAGCTTTTTTATTTGCTAGGGATTAAAGCAGACATCATGAAATTTGGTGAGGACTAAAAATAGTATTTACTCTTATTATAAATGATATAAAATTGTGTCATTTTAAATAAATAAAAATGAAGGAGAGAAAATGGACAAAAATAAATAAATGTGTGGGTCTTACTTCTTTGTGAGAATGAAATGATACAAGTTGTGTCATTTAAAAGAACAAATTATTTTTTTTAATTAATATAATTATGTGATATGAGGAAATTCTAATCATAAAAATATCTTCATATTTATTTTTTCTTTTATCATTATTAATTTACCTTTATTTGTAGGATTATAATTTCTCAATATGACTTAATGATATTAATTACTCATTAATTTGAGATTCTTGGCTTTGTGGGCCTAAGCTTTTTCGGCTATGTTTTTAGACTGTTTCCAAACCTAAGCCAGCCAGCCGTCAGTTGAAGAAATTGGTGGTGACTTGTGGCAATTCAAGGTTCCATGCATTTGACAAGTAGGCTTGGCTTAAATTTGTTTAACTCGTGCCGGCATTTAGGTCAGGTGGTGTGACTGCTGAGCTCATAAGAAGAGACATTTTCGAGCATTCACTTTCACTTTAGCCAACATTATTATTAATAAATCGTTTTAGACTAAACAATCTATATCTTATTGAATTGGAGTACCTTGGTAAGTTGTTTTAGATCAACCGTCTATCTAACCAATTTAGAGTCTACTTCAAAAAAAAAATAAGAATTATTTCCTTTGAAATTTCATATATATATATATATATATATATATTAATTTGAAATATTAGGATATGGAATAATAAAATTATCACGATTAATTTGACCATAAATAATTAGGATACTGTCCCATAATTTACTCCCATAATCTAATTAACAACCTAACATATACATGTATTTACGTAATTTTTTTAAAATTAAGGAGCCAGTTGGCGTTGGGATTGATTTCCATGTGAAAGAATAATGTGACATAGATTGAATTAATAGTTAAGTCATTAAAAATAGTTAGTAATGAGCATTTAGATAATTTGTAAAAAATTAAGTTAAAAGTTAATGAAATATTTAATATATAAAGGTGATATAAAATCAGAATAGATATTCTCATATTTAATTTCAGGAAAATTTTCATTTTCATTAATGGGTTTCAATCTGTATCATTTAACTTTGCATGGTTTAAAACTTACAATTAGGGATGTTTGGTACACAATATAGGATAAGACTTGATAGTTTAAGATATGGTAATATAAGGTATGATTAAATTTTAATATTATCTAGCATATGGCATTGACGCATTGTATTGTATAAGATAATATCATCCAGTATTTGGTAATGCACTGTATAATACTAGATAGGATAAAAATAAATATTTTAAACAAAAATATCTTTTAATAAAGAATTTATATTATTCTTCCAAATATGTCATATGATATTAATTTTTATAGAAATATATTGATGTGTCCAAAAAATATATTAACTTTTTATAGAAATAAAATCTCCAATATTTAAAAAATATATATATTGAAAAATTATTTTTTATTTTAATATATTAATACTAAAATAATATATTAATTATTGATAATTGCACTGGTTAATACATCAACCCCTTAGCCTAATCTCTTTTCTATAGGCCTGATTAAGTTATACATCATTTTGATGTATAAATGGATCATGTTGTATAAGTTTTTATTATACGATAGTCATACCAAACAACTAAAGATGTTATAACATATAGTATAAGCTTATACTAGACATTATACATTGATCACTTACAATTTATACCTCCTGATTACACTATGTATCATTCAATCCTTGAATGCCAAAAATATCTTTATAATATAAAATTTTAAAATATTTTCATAAGTATAACATTAAAATTTAAATGAAATGTTAAAAAAATCCATAATTAATTTTATTGATTTCTTTCCAATTGATAAAAAGTTCAAATTCAAAATTTTAAATTTTTTCCAAACAATGTTTCTGCAAAATAAATGTTCAATAAAAATCTTAAATTTTTTTTAAAAATTAATCCTATTTAACAAAAAAATTGAATAACTGATATTTATATATTATCGTAAAGAAAATATTATAATTTATCAACGAATATAGAGTAATATGTGCCAATGGATATAAAAGAAAATATAATTTAGAATCTAAAAGATGGAGAAATATCGATCAATATATTGATAAATATTTAAACATCAAAATATTATAATTAATTAGAATAAATTTCCTTTTAAAAACATATATTAAAAATACAAATATATTTGAAAACATACATAAATATATTACTTTTTATACTTCAAATTAAGGGAAAGTTTTAAATTCTACATATAATGCATAGTTTACAATGAGAAATTGCTCACAATTTAATTTAAGGAATCAATAACAATTATGAAAACAAGTCTCATAGTTACATTGTTGTTCTTTTTTTTTGGTAATCACATTGTTGTTCTTAATTTACTACAGTCACCTTAATCATTTTTATATATTAAATTAGATTATATTTTTCTGAACTAATTAAATCTTAATTTAGTCACTTTGATTCAAAACAAATGACATATGTTGTATTTAACTAATATTTTTAATTTTTTTATTTGAAATATTTTAAATTAATACAATATTTTTTATAATTTTAAATATATTTTATTCTTAACTTATGTTTTTAGACCATACTTCAATTAATTATAAATACTTTTTATAATATTAAATGTTTTTTTAAATATATTTAATTTTAAATAATATTTTTTTTAAAATTCTATCTTAATTTAAAAAATATATATGCAATGCTCGGGATCTAATACCACAAAGATCATTTCTTTCACCCAGAAAATTGCATAAACACTCATAATTAATTAATTATTATACTATCTCTTTTTTGTTAAAGCCAACGTGATTTCTGCTCTATATATTCAAGCAGGATTTTGTAAGTTACTATTTTGTATGAAAATACACGATTCACAAAACGAATGCAACAGAATGCAGAAAAAATGTCTAACTTGTCTTATATGGTCGAAACTTTGGTCCATGTTAATCTTAACTTTAGTTTGATTTCCGGATTTTTCTCTTTGTATTTCCCTAATTTTATATAGACCGTGTCTTTTCTTAATCTAAATTTTTATCTACTAAAACAATTGCCAAAAAATTATACACTGAATCTGTAAACATATGAAATGTTTAGTGCATGTGTAATTAAAAGTAACTTAATCATGTGACATCCCACGAGATTTCGTTGAAAATGGAAACAACGGTGCTTAGATCCGAACTGACGTTGCTTTAGCACTGTTTCTGCGGATTGCTTTATTCGGCGCGAGTCGGCCATATTTGTTCGCACTTTGATACAGGATATCAAACATGTATTTGTGTTCAATTTTTTCCTTTTTTACGTTAAAGTCTATGAAAGAAGAGTTCATCAAATTCTTTGGTCAAACCTTGAGCTCACAATCGCTTTTTTGCGTTTAGATTATGGTTTTTATAAGAGTTAGTAGGAAAATTGATTGTGTAATGTTATAGAGATTCGTTTTGCGTGCCTTAATTTTTTATTTATTTTTTTGTTTTAAAAAGTGTGGGCCCCACAAAATGTTGTGAGTGTAGGAAAGTTTGTTGTGTTATGTTAAAGGATAAAAGGAAAACTCTTAGATTATCAAATAATATGCAATTAATGTTGGGGGGGTTTTTTTTTTTTTCCATTTAACAATCACTTTTGATCATTCAATGAGATTTTATATTCTAATTCGAGATACAATGCGGCTTCGTTACTTGCTCCACTTGGAAAATGAATGTGCATTCTGTAGAAAAACCGTCAAAATATAAATAAACCATAATAATATATTCAAAAGTAATTTTTATTAGTATTATTTAAATAATATGAAATCACTTGATTATGAACTTGTTTGTCGACAAAATTAAATGGGAAAAATATTTCTGCAAGTCACCGAAGATAAAGTTATTTTCATTGAGCTTAAAACGACGTTATTTTGAAGTTATAAGATTAAAAAAATAAAATAATAAAGACTAATATAATCATGTAATAGATTAAAATTATAAAAATACTCTGATTTTCGCTCTAAAAAGATATCATTTTAAGCTCACCTGAAATAACTTATCTCTATTTACTGAAGAAACCGTTACCCAAATTAAATATGTAAAATCTGATCGGAACACAAACTTTTTCCATATTCACATTAGCCTATTTCCTGATCCAGAATATATATATATATATATATATATATATATATATATATATATATATATATATATATATATATATATATATATCTGGATTAGGATCATTTTATATTAGTGTAAAATTAATAAGTCTTATATTATATCTCAATCGTTGAT